CAGAGGATAGCGGTTCTTTACCGAAATGTCATTAAGAGGACTGTAGTCTATGCAAGGTCTCAGAGAACCGTCTTTCTTTCCTACGAAGAAAAACCCCGCCCCGGCTGGTGAAGATGAAGGGCGGATAATCCCTGATTTGAGAGAAGAGGAAATGTACTCGTCCATTGCTGCTCTCTCTGGTCTTGATATAGAATACAGTCTTCCCTTGGGAATGGGTAGGAGGTCAATGGGACAATCAAAAGGTCGGTGAGGAGGTAGCGACATGGCTTTCGATTTGTTAAAAGCTTCCTTTAAAATCATGGTAACATGGAGGTACTTTCTGTAGGTCAGGATAGTCAGGGTGATCCTACTAGGGTCTGTTGGTGCCTTAAGCGCTTTGAGCACCTGTAAAAGCGCTCCAATAAAAAATGTAATGCATTATTATTTATTATTATTATTATTAACAGAGCGTGAATGTTCACTAGACCCTCCAGGAAAAAGCGGGCAAAAATCCTTGATTATGCGGGCTAAATTCCTTGATTATGCGGGCTAAAATCCTTGATTATGCGATTAAACATGCGGGGTTTTTATGTGATTTTATGCGGTGAAATTGCGAGAAGTTGCGAAATATGCGAAATATGCGGGAAAAAAGAATAACAATTTTTTTAAATTATTGGGCTGTCTTATTTATTCTCTCTCACACACAACCTGCCACTAACGTTAAACCCCTTTACTATTCAATTAAACACATTCAATGTTTATTTATTGTAAAAGCAATTGGGCTATATTAATCTCACACCCCCCCCTCCACACACACACACTTCTCCGCCTTTTCAGTTACTCGTTCGTTATCTGCAGCTTCAATCTTGTAGGCTACTCACTTCGTTTCTTGTAGCCCTCGAAAGGGTTTTGGAGCTTGATGCCTCGGTGAATGTGAGTTGTTTGGCTTTTGATTTCGATTTTCTCTTATGCTCCAACACACAGTTGCACGGGGTGCAGAATAGTTTCCCCCCACTTTCGTAAAAGACATCGGGGTACTGCTTTGCCCGGTCTTTAGCTGAAATGTTCGTGGGTAAATGTGATGGATTCGATTTGNCTCTTTACTCTTCTCGCCGCAAGATGTCAGAACAAAGTGAAAAACAAACAAAATAAATAAATCTATTACTACCCGACATATTAATAATATGTTATGCCATTGTTTGTTTTTCACTTTGTTCTGACATCTTGCGGCGAGAAGAGTAAAGAGGAGATAGTCTGTGTGACTTACTTTAAATTGTGGGTAAGGGTAGATAGCCCCCATTGTTCTCTGACCTGTCAATCATCAAACCGGGGGTCATATTTCATTATGTGTTCATTTTGATCTGAGGTTGTACCCATTGATGTATAAAGAAGAGTTCTACCGCAAAGTTATTCTCCGTGGGGACTTCCGTCAACAATCTTGATTCTGATTGGCCAGAAGACTCGCAAAAACATCAGCAAAGATATTTTATTGAGAAGATGATCACGATGTGAGTTTTGAAAACCGTTTATGGTCTCCGGTACTTTCAGTCCAACGCTGACTGCATGCACAGCGTTAGAAAATTGGGCCTTCAAAATAAAAGTTTGACTTCCCCCCCCGAAAAAAAAAGAAATTCAATTTTTATTTATTTTTTTCTTCACTCACACATCCGCGACCCACTCGAAACGGGTCCGCGACCCACTCTTGGGTTGCGAGCCACCAGTTGAGAACCAATGCTTTAGATGGAGTTGGTGCATGTTAGGCCAATTTATATTTGAGTTCTGGCTGCTGCGTGTGTTGCAATTCAAAAATATCTAAAACAATTATGGAGTGCTGGACAGGACAATCTTGTCTTCCTGTGCCGAAAGTAAAACCACAACACTCGCTTCAGAAATCTTCTGCAAAAGATGTGAAAGCTGCGGCATTCAATTTCTGTGACCTCATCACACGGTATTCTTAAAATCTCATGACATCACTAAACTGTTGAAATAGGGACTTGGAAATTTGCTATACTATATCCCTTCCAAATCCAATCGAGTCCACTTAATGTAGCACTAATTTGATAATAAATATTGCATACTTAATGTGTGCTTATCAAAAAAAGTATGTGTGATAAAAAGTTGGAAATGTAGAAGAAGCATTTTTTTCTTTTAACTTCTTTTGACTGATAAACAGCCTCAGCCCAATGAAAATATTCAAAGTTTACTATCAAAGACGATCAGCAAATGCTCACATCGAATATATTAGAGAATGATTTGCATGGTTGCTTTAAAAGATTACAGTATTGATTAATAACAACGTTTTTAAATACACACTGATCAGTTTGACTACTTGTTTTATATTTGTCAGGGATACTTTATATAGATTTTTGACATGTTTGCTTTTAATATTGTGATTCTTTAGTTTCAGAGGCTGATGAAGAGTAATCCAATATAGTGTAATCCAATATATAATCCATTGTTTATGCCATTGGTATTATACCTGGCTTCTTGATATTCAGTAATCTTGACCTACGGTGGCTACATGACATTTAGAAATATTACAGTACAGCATCAATATGGTATTATAAGTTTGTTGTTGTTGTTGTTGTTGTTGTTATGTACAACATTAAACTACACTTTTGCACTTGAATTTAGTACAAAACGTGAGTGTGTATTTTCTGACTGCCCTAAATGTAACACACCCCCTTACAAGCTATATTACACCACCCTGCAAACACAAACAAAACACGTCTAAAACACATTTTTACAACAACTAATATGAATAAAATGTGTACATAAGACTTGCAACAACAATAAAACACTGCAAAAAGTTCATTTTCGCGACAATGTTTGCTAATAGCATCGAGAGGCTATCAGTTTCAGAAGACAAAAGCACTGCTGTCAAAACACCAAAGCGTGTCAAAAAGCTAACGGTTTCCAAAAATGTCCGAACAAGAAAACTACGAAATGCGGGAAAAGTTGTCGTGAGAGCTTGAAAACACTTACCTTGTTTGACACACTTGAGTCGGACGGGGTCTTTGCTGTGTTTGACCACAGCATGGACGTCCCTGGTGGTGAGTCCAGCCACCGGGGTATCATTGACTTCCAGGAGGAGTTCATCCGTCCACAGTTTGCCGCTGTGGCACACCGCTGTGCCCGGGAGAAGCTCGCCGATAACCGGGAACTGTCCATTCTCTGCGCCGCCCTTCAACTCCAGCCCCAGCTCCCCCTCCTCATTCCTGCAAAGGACACTCTCATGGACTTTGTTAGTCCAGTGGTTCTTCCTCTTCTTCAGGGTCTTGGACATGGCTCAAACAAGGGGAAATCACATGAGTGCGGTCGTGGAAGAAGTTTTTCCGTTCTTTGAAGTCCCCCAGTGTCAGCGCCACACTGTAATGTGTCCAGTTTCAGCAGTAAACGCCACTTGTATCCATGTCAGCGCGCAGCAGCTGGATCATCAGTCTGCCTTTGCATTAACTGGGAGCTGCTCAACTTGTGATGCCTTCAAGCGATATCTCAAAGATCGGTATTGACAGGTTCGCTGTTCAAAAGCGACCTACTGTAGTTAAGGAGTAAAACAGAAATGAGGAGAATGAATGCAATAGGCCTACATTGAGTTTAATTATTAATCTGACTGGTTAGTGAAAAAACCTGAAAGCCAATTAACAACTAACAATGGTTGAATAATTAATGTTTATGAATTGATCAAAAAATATATAATGGTAATTTAATTGACCTACACACTTTTTTGGCCCAATTATGTTAACAATTTATCAACACATTTGTGTTTTTTTAATGAAAATAACTTTGTTGAAAAACACACTAACTCAACTATATGTAAGGAATTACTTCTACAAGTTTGTTTTTGTAGTTCTACCACTTTAAAGAGATTTATTTTAAACAACCAGGACATCCTTACATTATCGTTACAACTTTCAATGCAACAAACCTCGTTACTTTTTAGAAATGAACTACTGTAACACAGAACAATCGTAAAGTGCCAAATGTTTTCAAAATGTATCAATCAATCAACTTCTAAACTTGTAGTCTACAAGTTTACGAGGGACACCTGAAGGCAGCATTCAGCTCCAACAAACCCAACTGACCCGGATGTGAAGGCAGCAGGAGGAGGAGAGAGGCAAGGCTTTTCCCAAATCCAGCTTTCCATGGAAAAAAGGAAAAGAGAGAGAAGCTGAGTAGCGGTATTTCCACTGGTATGGCAGCAGAGCAGAATACAAAGTTTTGACACCACAAATATGTCTCTTTGTTTGGCATTTTGCTAACAGTGACTTCATATGCTGCAGTTTATAAGCTTTAGAAAGTAAGATCAACTGACTCCACAAAAAAAAAAGCTTTTTTTCCAGCTACTTACTGAAAGTGGGATTATCAGTTACAGTCTATTTGTGTCTGATCAAGGGGCCTAAAAAGATAGTTTGTTAAACATGTTTTCATTATATTTTTTTAGGTGAACTTGACAGAACACCCATTTTGTTGCACTAAGCGATTGTATTTTAAGAAACTCATCCAAGGGCATCAAATAATTCTCAGCATCTTCTCCATAATGATATTTATATTTCAGAAGCTTATACAGTTCTCTTTAGCAGCATTTGTTATTCACACACTCAGCTATAGCTTTAATAGTTTTGTAATTTGCGAGAAGAAATGGTTGGAAAAGGAAAAATCCCCCCCATCTCGAACTAGAGTGTATGACTGAGTATAATCCATCTTCAAACAAATGTATGTTCTGGGTATTTTCCATCACGGGTCTTTAAAAGCCTCTCCTTACATCTCTTCTTATTCAGTTACTGAGCTCGTATTTGGTAATGATAGTTTGCTGCTTTAATGCCATAATTGTATAGATATACGATAATAGCAGAGTTTTCTCTAGTGGCAAGTTAATCCTTTTTTAGATGAACAATCGTGTTTTTCTCATAACAAATTAAACATTCCTGTAATCACTAGGGTTAAGTGCACTTGTTTCCCACAAAAGGCATCATCATGTGTCATTGAGTCTGCTTTATTCAAAAGTATTTTCTGGAAAATACCCAAACTAATGTAAAAACTGCAAAATACCTGCAGTGAAGTTAGTTTTAGGTTGGATTTTGGAGAGATATTCACTCACATCCAAACTCCATCTTTAATCCAAAGGGTTTCATGTGTTTCTTCAATACTTCAGTTATGCTAAACATGTTTTATTGATCATTTTAGTTTCAGAGTCATGTGACCCATTGACTCCAAATAAAGGCAGCATTATTGTTACTACACTGGACATTAAGACACATCTGTTTTTGTTGAATTGTATGGCATCTTCTATTTTATACAGATACTGTTATTGAAAAGTTTTGATTGCTGTTTTTGATTGCTGTCAATAACCACAATGTCATGTGACCCAGTGATTCAAAATCAATGGACCAACTTTTTATTAGATTGAAGTCCACCTTCTAGATCAATCTCAATATCTTTATGAAAACATAGCAGTTCTTTTGTTGTATTTTTTAAAGAGATTCATCATTTATCTGTATGCTAAATATGAAGCTGGACCCAGGCGGGAGTTAGCTTAGCATTACAAATGGAAACAACTAGAGTAAATAACCCAGACTTTAAAAACAACAATTAGTGGTGTACGCATTTAACCCTTTTTTGTGTTCCTTTTGACAGAAGTCCCTAATGTCATATTTTCTACAGTCGATCTAATATATAGCTAAATAAGTTAATAATTCTCAAAAAGACTACTTCTTTAAGTATATTCAATGCAAACAGTTTGAAATTAGCAATAAAATAACAAAGGATGCTCTAAGTGTGTCCACAATTTAAGCACATCAAAACAGAGGAAGAAAAAGCAGGTATCTAACAGACAGAGGCCGTTTCTCAATCTCGAGGATACTGGCTTCCAAGCCAATATTTCAAGGATGCTACATCATCGAGTGCCGCCGAAGTACTGTTCCAATGTCCAGCATACTTGGAATTCCACCGAGGCCGCGTCCTTGGTTTGGGGGAAATTTCGAGGCTGCACATGGGTAGACTTCGCGTCCTTAAAACCCCCACAATGCTTTGCGCACGAACCAGTTTCAAAAACCCTTGCGGAGAATGGCTGAACCGACGCAGCACACATTTAAATGTAACTATGTAGTGGCGTAGAACATGTGTTGGTAAATATGTTACTTTGTTACATTTGTTATCACCAAAAAGGTGTTCCGTGAAAGTAAAGCAAGTTCATAATTAGATAGACATCGTGAGGTATTTATTCGGTACAGTTTATGTTGAAACCGTTAGAGAGAGTGGCACACTTGTTAGCCTGTTCCATTCTTCTTCGTTTTCCGAAGCCGTGGCTTGGAAGCATACTTGCTTCGTTTCTGAAGGAAGTGACTTGGAAATATGCGACTACCATGCCAGCATCCTTGCGATTGAGAAACACCCATCCACTCAGCCTTATCTTTTCTCAGCCGAGAAACTCCGCTTCTACTTCTACTTCTTCTAACTTCTACTCCGCAGAGTTTCGCAGCAGCGAGCCCCGCAACATCCCGCAAACACGGCACCCAGACCCCACGCAGCATTCTCATATGTTTGTCATTACTGTTGTCATTTTCTGGTTGCTAACAAACGCCATTGTAACAGATAAACACACATCAGAGCACAGTGGGCTCATAGGGAACCTCCCTGTGAGCCCACTGAGCTCTGCAGGAGCTCCAACAAGGCGTTTAGGACAAAGAGTGAATAAACATACTATACAGAGATGCTGTATGAAAAACCAATGTGATTTTGGAAATTTGCACAATTTAAATCTATTCTAGTAGACCTCAACAATGGAATTATGATCAGTAGAAATGGCCATGACATGGGACCTTTAAGTTCTTGTCTGNCAATGTAAATCTATTCTAGTAGACCTCAACAATGGAATTATGATCAGTAGAAATGGCCATGACATGGTACCTTAAAAGTAATTTCAGCAAAAACATAAAAAATGAATGAAACAATGAAAATTGTGTTTCTGATGTACTGTACTTCCGATTTATTTGAAGCAAACCAAAATGAATTACCTTAAAAAACGACTTTCATAAAGACAAGGGACATGTTAA